AAATACTTTTAACGGCAACGGGCCATTCTTACTGCTACTTATACTTGGTTACACCTAGAGATATGTTTCAGTTTAGTAGAAATAAAGGCCAGTTGGCCGATTCCTCGGATCAGGCGATGCCATTTGATGTTCCTGATATGAAATTAATTTTCTCAGAACGCTGGTATCCTTCAGTTTTTTTTGTATTTACTTTTATTTCATTTGAGATGAGTAAAAAATTCTCATCAATCTAAGTTACAGTTTACTGATTACATGTAAGTTACATTTGGCAATGAGGTCAGATTGTCTATATCCGTGTAAAAGGTGATAAAAACTGATATTTATATCTGCATAAACTGTTTACATTCCTGTTTACATTGCCCCGTTATGAAGCAATGAACTGCAAGCAATCTCTCATCATAACAGATGATAAGAGCTACGGATTAAAAAGGGCACATTACAGTAAACCCAGATTAAAAAAGGTATTTTTTCCATGCCCTGAAGCAGTCTTTCTCAGTAGCTAAAATATAGCGACTTTAATTTTAATTTTCCATAAGCGAGCCACAGTCCCATGCTTTAGCATAATTCCTTCATTTCGTTGGGTATCAATACAGGATCAATTTGAGAATCACTTTCATGTTGTTATCATTTTGGGGGCTGTAGAAGTCGTCGTTTGTTGTCGTCTCATTTCCCGAACAGTTGTTGGTTGTCAAGCCATCTTTACATGTCACAAAATGAAAACTCGCACTTCCCGCGAGGTAAAATTACATACATACATACATATATACATACGTTTATTATAACTCCCAACTTGGGCTTTTCGGTTACAATGTCTAACTGCAATATTTAAAATACATATAAGTTAAAAAGGAGAAGGAATAACAGGCAAATAATGCTTTAATGGCTTCTGCACTAAACGACGCCTGAGGCTATTTACACTGTCCGCAGCTTTCAAATCACTAGAAACACAGTTTTAAAGTTTGTATCCACGATATGTGAATGAATGTTGTCCATCTGACAGAAGACAACGAGGGATGTGTAAAAGATTGAATGATCGCGTAGTCCTAGTGTGAATATGAGAATGAGGTACAAGTGTATTGTATCAAGCTCATGATAGGCAAAACCAATGTCTCAATGTGTTTTTAACGGCTTGTCTCACTTCTCTTATCTTCCAACAGTAAAGAAATGGGTTCAGCGTCGAATTCAAGAAAACAAACACTCCAGTGATGCTCGAGCTAGTGGCACCACAGTATGGAGACACTCCGTTTGAAATATTTACAGCTGTTGTTATAGTATATGGTAGATAACAAACGACAAGCGTAAAGTGTATCCACATAGCGCTGGAAACAGTCTTTTTGTACCACGCTATGTTTAGGGTCGCCCCAGGGTGAGACTGAAAACGTTGCACTTGCGATTGTTGGCGACGAAGAGCGACATAAATTTTCAGATAACAAAATGAAGATACAGCTAAACACATTGCAATCCACGCACAAGAACCAAGAAAGAAATAAAGCTTGTGCCACAAGAAACTAAAAGCAAATACGGTGCTCGTTGTCCAAGAAATTATCACCAGGAACCTAACTCCTTTTAAAGTGACAACTTGTCTGTATCTTAATCTCAGTAACAAGGCGAGAAGTCTGTCTATACTTATGGCGGTTAATACAGTGATAGATTCTCCACATAACATCGCACTTGAAATGTTGGCCAAACGTTCAGTTAGCAGACACAATGTCTGATTTTTTCTTGCAGTAAGATAAACGATATATATCGGCTGCGAAACAAGTCCAACCAGGAGGTCCGTGCAAGAAAGACAACGAAATAAAAGCTTCGATGGCGGATGAAGAGAAGATTCTTTTTGAAGAG